AAACATTTAAAGAATATGTGCTTAAGAAACCCCTAGCACTCCACATGCCCAAGGCTCCCAAGCTCCCACCACAAAAACAACCTAAACAACTAATAAATAAGTATATCATAATGAAAATGACTAACGGAGTCTGCTGGAGTACATCAAAGGAGTAACAGAAACCCAGGTGAACACAGGAACTCAGGATAGCCATACAGAGAACAGAAGGAAACACCTGGTCTCCAGCACCCCATTCCCAAGCAGGGATGAGAATCAGGAGGAACTTCTCCCTGTGGGGAAAGGCAAGCAGAACTATAGTCCTCACTCCAGTAGTGAGGACTATAGTTGTTCAAAGTGTTGATCAAGGTACTTAAGCCCAGCTGAGGGAGCTGCCTGTAGTCCACATAGCTGTTGTCCCACAGAGAAGGGGCTGACACTATGCCTTGTATCCTGGGGCCTATGTGGCTACTGTACAATGCCATCTTCAGACTGGAACTACTGTTGGAGTGTTGCTTGGGGGCGAGTACCCACAATATCCCTTCATCTCTGAGGGTAAGCTGCTACCAAACCACCCCTGCCAGAGGCCTGACATCCCCAAGCTGTGACTAGCTCTTATACCCTTCCCTGTGGGCTCAAGCAGTGGTGGGGCTGCTTCATGCACCCCTCCTAGCCTCCACTCACAGCTAGAGCTCAAGCTGCACACTCATTCCCGGAGAAATGGTGCTTTGGCAGAACTGTTCAATCTCTCAGTCATGCCTGCACCTGCTCCTAGGGGACTGAGCTGAAGCTGCACACTGCCTCTAAGGAAAATGATGCCCTGAAAAAGCTGTTCTAAAATCCTCTCACAGTCATTGCTACACTGTGCCTCTCTGGACCAGTACTGAAGCAACACAAGACATTCCAGGTAAATGGGGCTTTGACTGACAAGAGCAGTCACGCCCCTCTGTGACTGAGCTGAAAAGGTACAGTCTCTTAAAAAAAAAAAAAGAGTACCTTTGCCACCAACAGCAGTCATGTCTTCCCAGTGCCTATGCTGAAGCAGTGTCCTACCTCCTAGAAATGACCAATTACAAGTAACAAGATTGAATTAGTAAAAAAAATCTCCCATCAAAGAAAAGCTTAGGACCTGATGTCTTCACAGCAGAATTCTACCAAACATTCAATACCAGTTTTCTCAAACTCTTCAACAAAATTGAAGAGGGGGGAGTTCTTCAAAAATCATTCTATGAGGCTAGCACTACCCTGATACAAAAAAACTAGACAAGAATACAACAAAAAAGAGAAAATTGTACAACAGAAAAAGAAAACTATAAGCCAATATCCCTGATAAGGAAAGATGCAAAAATCCTCAACAAAATACTAGCAAACAGAAAATCCAACAGCGCATTAAAACTGTCATTACCATGATCAAGTGGAATTTATCACAGGAATACAAGGGTAATTCAACACATGCAAATCAATAAATCAGATACATCATATCAACAGAATGAGGAACAAAACTCACATGATTACCTCAATAGATACACAAGATGCATTTGATAAAATTCAACATCCTTTGTGATAAAAATTCTCAACAAACTGAGTATAAAAGGAACATACCTCAACATAATAAAAGCCATTATGCCAAACCCACAGCTAACGTCATACTGAATGGGGAAAACTGAAAGCTTTTCCTCTAAGAATTAGCACAAGACAAGGATGCCCACTCTGACTACTCTTACTCACTTAGAGAATCCTTCTAAGTATTAGCTAGAGCAATTAGGCAAGAGAAAGAAATTTTTGGCAAGGAAGAAGTCAAATTGTCCCTATTTGCAGATGACAAGATCTTGTACATAGAAAAACCTGTAAGAAAAACTGAAAAGTTCTACCAAGAAACTCAGAACTGAGAAACAATTTCAGCAAAACCACAGGATACAAAAATCAACATAAAAAATCCTGTAGCATCTGTATACAGGAAAACAAGCAAAATAAATAAATAAATAAATTTAACTAGAGAAGTGGAAGACTTTTAGAGAAAACTGATAAAATACTGATAAAAAGAAATTGAAGGACACACAAAATAGAAATACATCATGTTCATGCATTAGAAGAATTAGTATGTTAAAAATGATCATAGTAACCAAAGTGATCTACAGATTCAGTGTAATCCTTATAAAAATACTAATGAAAATCTTCACAAAAATAGAAAAAAAATCCTAAAATTCATATATAACTACAAAACAGTCTGAATAGCCAAACCAATCCTGAGCAAAAGGAACAAAGCTGAAAGCCTTATACAACCTAATTTTCAGATATACTGCAAAGTTATAATAATCAAAATAGTGTGGTATTGGCATTAAAAACAGACACATAAGACCAAGGTACAGAAAAGAGAACTCAGAAATGAATCCACTTGTTTTTATCCATTTGCATATTGCTATAAAGGAATATCTGGGGCTGAGTAATTTATAAAGAAAAGAGGTTTATTTGGTTCACAGTTCTTCAGGCTGTACAAGAAGGATAGTGTCAGCATCTGCTTCTGGTGAGGGCCTTAGGAAGTTTCCACTCATGGCAGAAGGCAAAGGGGAGCAGGCATCACAAGGCAAGAGGAAGCAGAGAGAGAGAGAGAGTAGAGGAGGTGCCAGGCTTTTTTCAACAATCAGTTATCATGGGAACTAAGAGTGAGAACTCACACATTACCAGGAGGATGTCACAAAGTCATTCATAAGGAATCTGCCCCCATGAACGAAACACCTGCCTTGAGATCCTACTTTCAACATTTGAGTTCAAACTTCAACTTGAGATTTACAGAGGACAAATATCCAAAGCGACACCTCTGTATAACACGAGTTGGCTATAAATATCCCCATTCCTTTATAGCCAACCCACATTATACAGAGGTGTCAAGGACATTCACTGGGGAAAGGACAGTCTCCTCAATAACTGGTAGTGAAAAAACTAGATATCCATATGTAGAAGAATAAAAGTAGACCTCATCTTTCATCATATACCAAAATCCACTCAAAATAGATTAAGGCCTTAAATGTAAGACCCAAAACTATAAAACTACTAGAAGAAAATATAAGGGGATTGCTTCCAGACATTGGACTGGGCAAGTTTTTATGAAGACCTTAAAAGCATAGACAACAAAAGCAAAAATAGACAAATAGGATTATATTGAACTAAAAACCTATATAGCAAAGGAAATAATCAACAAAGTGAAAAGACAATCAGGAGAAAGAGAAAAAATATTTGCAAACTATTTATCCAACAAAACATTAATATACTGAATACACAGGGAATTCAAACAACTCAATAGCAAAAACAAATAAGTAGTCATCAGGAAATGCAAATCAAACCTGCAATATCTTCTCACCCTAGTTAGAATGGCTATTATTTAAAAGTCAAAAAATAAACATAGTAGGATGCAAAGAAAGGGAAACCCTTACATACTGTTGTTAGGAATGTAAACTAGTATAGCCATTATGAAACATAGCATGAAGTTTTCTCAAAAACTAAATTAGAGCTACTGTAGGATCTAGCAAATTCACTGCTGGGTATACATCCAAAAGAAAATGAAATCAGTACAGTGAAGAGATATCGGCACTTACATGTTTATTGCAGCACTAGTCACAATAGCCAAGATATGGAATCAACCTAAGTGTCCCAACAACAGATGAAAAGGTAAAGAAAATGTGGTACATATATATGATGGAGTACTATTCAGCCATAAAAACAAAATAAATATTGTCATTCATAGCAACATGGATGAACTTGGACATTATATTTTAAAAAATAAACTAGGTACAGAAAGACAAATATCATATGTTCTCACTTATATTTGGAAGGTAAAAAAAGCTGGTCTCATAGAATTTGAGAGTAGAATAGTGGTTACTAGAGCCTGGGAAAGGTGTATAGCCAGAAGTTGGTTAATGGATGTAAAATTACAGCTAGAAAAGAAAAATAAGTTCCTTGGTTCTACAGCACTGTAGGGGGATTATAATTAATAACAGTTCAAATAGCTGGAAAAGTAGATTTTAACTGTTCCTAATACAAAGAAATGGTAAATGTTTGATGTGATGAATATGCTAATTAAACTAATTTGATCATTATACATTATATACATGTATCAAAATATCATACTGCTCCCCCTAAATATATATAATTATGTATCAATGAAAAAATAATAATAATTAAATTAAAACATTTTTTTAAAGAAATCTGAAGCTGAAAAACCAAGGCTAAATGGTCTTAAATCTTAGTAGGTATAAGCAAATATAATCCTTTTCTGTGAGAATTGACCCTTAATCCAAGTCCCACAAGATTTCCACAGATTGAGGTAACCCTAAATGAATTTACAGTGTAAAATTACAAAACTCACAGGAAAATAAGTGAGCAGAAATAAAGTCAACAGAAAAAACAAACAGCAGAATTATACCTCTGTGAACATTAAGTATTAGAAATAACAAGTACAAAATATAAAATAACTATTAACAATTAGAAATAACAAATATAAAATATAAAATAACTATGTTTAAAAAAGTATAAGGAAGAAACAGAAAACAAACCAAATATAATTTCTAGCAAAGAAAAATATAACCATTTAACTTCAAACCTAACAATAAAACAATATTTCTCAAACAATAAACAATTGAAGAAAATGGATTATGAATTAGACATTAGATCATTAAAGTTTGGTAATTTTTATTAGTTATGATAATGGCGTGATTATTTAACATACCAATATTTTTTAAATATGAGTACTAAAATATGTCATGTTACCTGCGATTTTTTTTTTTTCCAAAATATGCCAGGAAAGAAAAAAACAGTAATAAATAAAACAAATGTAGAAAAATCTGGGAAATATTAAATCTAAGTGGTGTGTCTATATATAATTTTCATAATAAAAATAAAATGAAAACTCAACTGATAGTGTAACCAGAATGCTAGATAAAACCAAAGAAAAGTTTATAAAATTAGAAGACAGATTTGAAGAGAGTATCCAAATTGTGAATAAAACTTAAAGAAAAAAGAAAACTCACCTTCCTTAGGACTGACTGCTGCAGGGAGAACATTCCAATCAAGAGTCCAAGTAGGGCAAGGGTGGGGAGAAAACATCACTTCAATGCCCTTTTCCTAGAAAAGAATATTGCCTCTTTCTAAATTAAGGAATTAATATAGTATTACTATATTCTTAAAGGCTAAAAAATTACATTTTTATATTGGTAAGGAGGAGCATAAATAATAATCTTCAGCTATTCCTCAAAATACATATTTTAATTAAATAAAAATACAATGTGTTGAGTATTTTGACATCACAGTTACTTTCCTATATTTTATATTGAGATAACAAAGAGTAATTCTATTTTAAAATGATTACTAGAAAATCCATAGAAGTAATAAGCTACCTAGAAGTATACTGGATATCAAAGACTAAAGAAAAAAATGTTATCAAAAACAATCCACATGGAAACAATTAAAAAACACTGCATACGTCCATCAAGGTCTCTCTTTACATATATGAAAACCGCCACAGCCTATATGCTATATTTACAGTACTAAAAGCTACCACTTACATACCCCAAAACACCACTCATACTAGTCTTTTATAAGTGTCTTTAATGTCACTAGAGAAAACTTCCTCTGGCTTAACCAAATGTTCCCCATATTTTCAAGAATTAGAACCACTTTTCAATATATTAAAAATTTTCAGCCTTCTTCACCATCTTAGAAGCTGTACACTTATTTATTTGATCTAGGTACAGTGGCATGGCATATGCATGGAATCATAGACCTCTTCCAATCACATGCTGGGTCCACATTCCACAGTATATATATATATCCATGGCTCAGTTATTTTTATCTTTAGGAATAACCTATTCAAATAAAAACTCTCTGAGACTTCAGTAATAAACCCTTTGTATCAGTATATGAGATTACTTTCCATTATGAAAACTAGCTGAATTTGTGTCTCAAAGGAAATAATACACAGAATCTAGAGATATGGCTATTGGCCCACAAGCCCAGAGCACTCATTTGTCTCCAGAAAGATAAACACATCTCTCTGACGTCATCTACCTCTCTTCTATCTTCTTCAATCTAGCCATACTGATTTTCTTGCTATTTCTCATTTCACTGAACTCATTCTTACCTTAGGATCTTTTAAAAAACACAACTATATTAAGATATGATTTACATATTAATACCATACAATTTACCCTTTTAAAGCATCTAATTCAGTGGTTTTTAGAATATTCACAATTGTTCAACTATCGCTACTATTTTAAGATATTTTCATCACTTCCAAAAGAAGTTCTATATCCACTCAAGAAGTGAACCAGAGATCCCTTAGCAATATAGTCATATAATGAAGACACATCAAAATCTAGACATGCCTCAATAACTTGTAAAATCAACTATATAATCATGTTTCATTACTTAATCAATAGGCTACAGAGCTTAGCTGAAGAGTTAAGGGATTGGTATCCATACCAAAATCTTCCTGTGCATTTCTAAATCAGTAAACTCTGTTAACTATAGAATTCAAATACTTCCTAAACCAAATAGGGAAATATAATGAATATTTTTCCAGTGTTACTTCGATGGATAACTTAAGTTACTTCATGAATTCTCTATTCAAATAAATCTTCACATCATCTATTAAAAGCAAAATATTTTTGCAGATTGTTTCAAATGTTAGGGAAAGGAAAGCCCATTGTTGAAAACTTTACAATTGGTACTACTGAAAACAAACTATGCTCCAATGAGAAAATAAAGCATATGCATTTTTTTTTTTTTTGAAACAGGGTCTTAGTCTGTCGCCCAGGCTTGTTGTATAATGAAAACATTAAAAGCAGAGATTAAAGTAAAAATAAAATTAAATGAATTTCAAAATTACAAATTTAAACAAAACTTTAGAAAGTCAATTTAGATAGTCATCTTTGTATTTCTTTTCTTTTCTTTTCTTTTGAGACAGAGTCTTGCTTTGTCATCCAGGATGGAATACAGTGGTGCAATCTCGGCTTACTACAACCTCTGCCCTCCTGAGTTCAAGCCATTCTGGTGCCTCAGCCTCCCCAGTAGCTGAGACTACAGGCTTGTGCCACCACACCCAGCTGATTTTTGTAATTTTAGTAGAGGCGGGGTTTTGCCATGTTGCCCAGACTGGTGTGGAACTCCTGACCTCAAGTGGTCCACCTGCCTCAGCCTCCTAAAATGCTGGGATTATAGCTGTAGGCTATCAGGCCAGCCTCATCTTTATATTTCTTTAACTTGAAATCATTATCCAAGCTAAAAAAGGCTCAGACCAAAACTTTACAGCAGAAAACAATTATGTGAAAATAGTACACTTGACCAGGTATGATGCTACTTTGGTCAATATCCTGAATATTAAAAAAAAAAAAAAGTTTTGAGAAAAGTGCTTTTTACAATTATATATTGTGACATACTTGACTCCAAAAATACTAATACTAAAAGTTTCAATTTAGTAGACTTCACATAAATGAAAAATGTAGCAGAAATATTAACTGGTAAACAGTGAAGTAATCAAGCTACAAATAAAAGTTATAACAAAAATAATGTCAACATGATTATAAGTTGGAGTAGAATGCTCAGCAACATTATCACATAGAATTTTTCAAAGAAAATTTTAACAAAATAATTAAGTACCATTAATTTGGCCATGGTTGGTCTCGGTCCTCCTATAAATAAAGGATCGTTTTGTTCTTCTACACCTGGGACTTCACTTAAGTTTGGATGATGTTCAGTTGAGGTTGTCAACAACTCTGGTAAATGGAGAAACTGGATCCCACACTTAGAAGCTGCTATTTTCACTCTTGGCACTTCCTGAATCCTCTGGTACCAAGAGGTTAGCAATGGAAATTCTACCAGCTTCTCAGAAAACTTCTTGCAGATAATTACCTAGGTAGGAAAATAATAAAACACACTATTATATCTTTTTTTGTTTATAACAGCTATGTTGAGATAACTTCACAAATCACAAAATTCACATATTTAAGTGAATAGTTCAAACAATGAGTTGTAGTAAATATATGCAGTTGTGTAACTACCATCATCTAGTTCTAGAATACTTAAGTCACCCCCAGAATTTCCCTTGTGACCATTTGCAGTCAATCTCTGATCTCACAGTTAGTTGCAGACAACCACTGATTGGCTTTCTGTGTTTGTAGTTTTTTCTTTTCTAGAATTTCATACAAATGGAATCATGAAATGTGTTTTTCTTTTATCTCTTAGTATTATGCTTTTGAAGTTAATCCTTATAGCTGCATTGACCTATCGTTTGTTTCTTTTTATTATGAGTAGTAGTCATTATGTGGATATATTTTGTTTACTCATTCACTGGTTGATAGACATTTGCATGTTTCCAGTTGTTGGCTATTAAAAATAATATTACTATATATTATGATGTAGCAGTGTTTATGTAGAACTGTTTCTCATTTCTTTGGAAATCTAAGAGTTAAGTCAGTAGGTTGTATGGTAAGTGTATATTTAAGTTTTAAAGAAACTGCCAAAATCTTCTCTATCATTGCCATACCATTTTACAATTCCCATAGCAATCCATGGAGGTTCCAGTATCTCCACAACTTGCCAATACTTGGTATTATCAGTCTGATTTTAGCCATTCTTGTGGATATGTAGCAGTGTCTCATTGTGATTTTATTTGCATTTCCCTATGATTAATGATGTTGAGCAACTTTTCATGTGATTATTTGCCATTTGTATGTTTTTGTTAGTGATGTGTCTTTTATGTTTTTATCATTCATTTTATAATATGAAAGTTGGAGAAACTCAGCAATGAGAAAATGAAAAACAATTAAAATAAGCCAAAGATCTGAGTAGAAGCCTTACCAAAAAAGATACAAAGATGGTAACTAAGTACATAAAAAAAATGTCCATCATCACATATCATTAGAGAATTACAAATCAAAACAAGGAAATACAACTACACACTTATCAGAATGGCAAAAATCCAAAACACTACAAGACCAAATGATGGTGAGTATGTGGAACAACAGGAACTCTCCTTCATTGCTGGAAGGAATGCAAAAAATAGTACAGCCACTTTGAAAGACAATTTGGTAGTTCCTTACAAATGTAAATATACTTTTACCATACAATCCAGTAATTGTGCTACAAATGAGCTGAAAATTTATGTCCATACAAAAACCCCCGAACACAGATATTAATAGCATATTTATTCATAATTGCAAAAACTTGGAAGTAACCAAGATGCCCTTCAGTAGATCAAAGGATAAACTGTGGTACATCTACACAATGAAAAACAACAATCAATAGAAAAAGAAGAATATAATTCCAAAAAGAATCAATATAAATAATGGCATTTGCAAATAGCTCTAAGTAGTAAAACTGAAAATCATTTTGAAAAGCTTTACATCTTGTCTTCAATTGTCTATCATCTTTCATTGGTAGTATGTTTTTAACCTCTCTAAGAACTCCTCTGCAATCAACTTCATTCCAATCAGGAAACCCTTTCATCTGTAATTCATGGCCATGAACACATTCCTCTCTTCTCAACCCTCAATATACTTGATAAGTTCTTAACACACTGCATATAGACAGTTAACTGGACAACATTATATCAAAACCCTAAAATCCTTAACATATTCTTATGCAAAGTAGTTTAAGTGGTTAATGAAGAAAGAATTAAAATAAGTATTAACTTCTTCAAAACAAATAATGTAACACTTAAATTATCACAATTTAATATCTGTAGTATACAATCATTGATGCATTTTGACGGGTCTCAATAGAAATTTTGCAGCTCACTGCAGAAGTGTAAAAATTGAGAGCTTGTATTATTAATAGTGATCTAAAGTTTCATTTTATGTGTGTGTGTGAAGCTATCTTCTCTGTTTTTGTGAACTATTAGGCAGAATCTAAATGACATTCCTTAAAAATAATTTAAGATGCACCCTTAAGAACCATATTTTTAAAAAATAACACAATGAGGTAAGGAGAACATTTTACTAAAGTAAAATTGTAAAAAGCTAAAAGAGAAAATTGTAAATATTTAAAACTAAAAAAATAACTAGCACTATTTATAAGATTTTTTTAATAAAGCAGCCCTTAAAATAAAACTTATTTTTTCAAATTAGAAAAATTTTAAATTGTCCCTCCTGATACAAACTCATATATTTTTGTTTTCTCTTGGTCAGATGCTTTTTCCCTTGCGCTACCACCAAACTCCATTTTCTTTAAAATTTAGAGTGCTCTTGCTTCTTTGAGAGGCAATAAATGTTGTTTCCATAGAAACCATTATAATGTCACAAACACATTGACATGAATATGAATAGATAAATAAAAAGGTCAAGTAACAGGAAATCTCTATAAATATATCTAACAATAATACCAAAGCATGAGAGAGAAAGGACAGAAAATAAAAAATTCATACATACATATATATATATATATAAAATACTGTATTTGAAGCAGACTTTAAGATAAAATGAGCGCAAGTAATTGATTATAAGAACAAGGACTGTATCAAACTCTTTGAATACTGAAGCACTTAAAACACTGCCTTGCAAATACTCTGTTGAATGAATGAAGAAATGATCAAGAATCCATTTATTATCTTCAGAGAATAATCCTCTCTGCTATTTATCACTGATTTAGGGGTCAAAATCAGTGATAAATAGAATTCAAACTGCTATTTATCACTGATTTAGGGGTCGTGAAATCAACATAGTAGGTTTTTAAAAAATGATATATAAAATATCAGGGTATATATATCGTGTAAGTTTTTTGCAATTATTTTTTATTTTATTTATTTATTATTTAAAGATATACATTTATTTGTACACTTGTTCAATTTGTAAAATGTATTACAATTGTTCCTCAGTATCCATGGAAGATTGGTTCCAAAACCTCTATCGGATACCCAAATCCACGGATACCCATATTCAAGTCCTTGATATAAAATAGTGTAGTATTTGCATACAACCTATACACATCCTCCTCTAGGTTATTTCTAATATCTAATACAATATAAACAGTGTGCAAATAATTGTTATTCTGTATTGTTTAGGGGATCATGACAGGAAAAAAAGTCGGTATGTGTTCAGTACAGATGCAATTTTTTTCCCAAATATTCTCAATCTGCGGTTGGTTGAATACATGAATACAGAACCCATAGATATGGAGGGCCATCTGCATTTACTGAGTTAAAGTAAAAAAAAAAAGTTTGAAAAATACTCTACATGGCACTCTGAGAGCCAAAAAGTTTATTATTTCCTTCCAGAATTCTTAATTGCTTGGAAATAGCTTAGATGCTAAGGGCATTCCCTTAGACTGGATCTTTAGACATGATAATCACACCAGAAACGTTCTCTTTTCCTCATTTTTCCTGTACTCTTGTTTTTAGTGACTTATTCTTATTTGTTAGATGTACATGGCATCCTTCCTTTCTTCTGAAACTAAGTTGTGATTAAATAACAATAATTCATATTTAAAAGAAATTGAGGAGGTTTACCCTGTGCGACAAGTCACTCCATTTAATCAACATGCCAGGCCACTCTATTAATATTCAGATAGCTCAGAAGGTACTGAACCACATTCATTACACTTATGAAGATACATTTAAGAAAGTTGCTAATGAAATCTATATGAAATGAAAATTTTCTTCTTAAGAAATGATTATCAAATAGTTACCTGGCTTCTCAGATCAAAACCATTATAAATATCACAGAGTTCTTTAAGGACAAGAAAAAAAAAGATAATTTTTTAAGATAATGGTTTAAAAAAAATGTATTGCTACCAAAGTAAAAATAAAATTTTAGTAACTCTGTAGTTAACTGTCAAAAACGGGCAAAAAAAATTGTCTGAATAAAAAGAGAAGAAAGATGCTCCATCTATTCAAAACATCTCCTCCTTTGCAATCTCTTACTATATAAAATATTTTATTCTTATTTTATATCATTTCCTTAGTCATACCTGCTTTTTCAAAAATATACTTCACAGATGTTCAGGTGAGCAGTGTAAGCACAGAAAAAAATAGTAAATAACACATCTAAATGGAAATATAATCCCTGCTTTGTTTCTTACTTATAAATTAGAACTAGTGAGTTAAAGCTAAAAACTCTTGAGGACCTAACACCTAATGCATAGGAGAAGACATAGATAAACAAATTTACCACTAAATAAGTGGCATCCACCATTTTTGCAATATGCCAGCAAAAAGTGAGATCTCTGTTTTGCTGCCAATTTTATGCCAATGGGAACACTGAAAGAGGTATTTAGTTTTGCTAAAAAATCAGTTTCTAAAAGAGGAATGATTTTACCTAAGCTAATAAAGCACGTGTGTGTGTGTGTGTGTGTGTGTGTGTGTGTGTATTTAACTCAAAGCATTAGAAGTTAAAATGTAGAAAATTAAATCATAAGTGTTAAAATTACAAAAAGATTTTATAAAATGATAAAATGCAACCTTTCTGTCTTATAGGAGTACAGTCATGTTTTAAGTAGTTCTGTCAAAGTGTACCTGCTTACCAGTAGCGATTGAAAAATAATATACAATCTTCTAGTGTCAGAACAGTAGAGTTTTGCCCTAGTATAGCTATTTATTACTTCTCCCATGTGCTTGATATACTATCTACTGGAAGATTTCTGCAAATGAATTAAAGATGGGAAAACATGAGTGTACATATTAATTTATTCCTTTTAAATCTATTTCTAAGACTTTTCAGAGGAGAGGATATTGTTAGGCCCTTTCCATTATGAGGTGCTGGGCCATCAGAGTTAACTTTGTAAAGTTATAAAGTATTTTCTGAAAAGAAAGAGCTCGAAGCAGGTTTATACCTAATATCTTAGCCCTTCCATGTTTGTCTCTGACAAGTTAAAAAAAAAAAACACTTCATCCATTCTATTTGTTATTGTTTTGTATCTTTGGTTTTATTCTGTTTAGCAGAACTGGGTATTTTCCCTAGTTCTTCTAAATTTTGACCCCTGGTAATTCAAACTTTGACTATGCAAAATTGACTCTTTACTTTTTTATGTCCTTGACTTTTTATTCCTGTGACTAAATATTCTGTTCCTGGGTTCAGTTTTTTGCTTTTGGTAACTTGACCTTGATTACTGATTATGAACTTAATCCTGATTCTGATCATTTGGATGGCCACTCCATTCATCTCAATGTCTGTTAATGCAAGCAAAAAGGCTTGGCAACATAACCACTGTATGAATTAAAATGACTGCTTTATTATCCAAGATGACTTAAAGGAGAAAAATATAACAAATATCAAGGCTTTAGCAAAGAAAGATGAATCCCTGAAAGAAAACATGTTAAATCCAGTAAAAATACAAAGGAACAAAGAAAACTATTTTGAGAATTTGCATATTCATATTTCAATAAATGTCTTTAATAAATGAACGGATATGCCACTTTCACTCAATTCTGATGAAAATGGAAACACCATTATCTAAAGAAGTCAAGAAGACAGAAGACCAAGTATTTCATAATACATCAAGTGACTGCTCTAATGACTCAACTTGGTAATAGAGGAGAGGGATCAGGGAGAAGAATCAAGAAATCATTTGACTAGGAAAAAAACTTAAAAATCAATGTCTTCTTCCCACTCAACTCCATGGACTTTATGAAGACATATGACATTTGGCATTTAAAATACCAATCAACATCTATACAAGTCCTGGATTTCCCTCTTTGTATGTTGTTTTGGTTGCCAATTTTGTCAATTTTGAAGAAAAGAGAAACGTTCTTTAAGAAAAGACAATTGATAAACACTGCCTAGTTACTAGTGAAGCAGGGCCTTCAAATACATAGATTTTTGTTAGAAGTCTCTTCTGACCGTAGAGATACCTGAATTGCTGGTGACATATAATGAGGATAAAATCTAATCTGATTCCTTAGTAAAGAAAAGGGTGAAATGTTTCAAAGAAAAAAAAAAATACAAAAGCAAAAAGCAGTGTAGCTCTTGAAAACCAATTGGAAGGCTGCAGATAATTAAGCTTCCTATGTTTACTCTGGTATTATTTTCATCCTGTTCTTTTTATCTCAACAGAGGAAATGTGTGTGTGTGTGTGTGTGTGTGTGTGTGTGTGTGTGTGTGTGTAAGACAGAGAGAGAGAGAGAGAGAGAGAGAATCTTCCTACTCAGAAAACTTTCTATCTATTCTCCCCCAGCACATAACAGCAGAGTCAGCAATTTTAATCTCACAGAGAAAAGAGAAGTACACAGATCAGAATAAAATATTTTCAATTTGATAATGTATAACATGAGATTAATTTAGGTGACTAAAAATTATAAAAGTTTTAGTTTTTTTAATACTGGACCCTCTAATATTAGAAGTCCAATGTGCTATCCATTGCACCATAGAGCTGGCTTGTACCTTCTAATATTAGAAAATAATCACAAATAATCACAAATTTGAAATTAATAACAATTGTTAACATTTTAGCAACTTCACATTAAAAGTTACAATAATTACTAACACTGATTGAGAGCTTACTACGTGCGGAGCACTGTTCTCCATACTTCACACAAACTTTAGTTTGCTCCTTACATTTTTCCTATTAGATAGGTACTATTATTATCTCCATTTTACAGACAAGAAAATGGAGAAAGATATTAATAACTTGCCCAGCAGCATACTAAGAAGTAGAATTGAAATTCCCTAGGCAATTTCATAGACTGAAACTCATAGTAATATATGCAGTTCAGACAAAACCTTACCAAGAAATGATGGATACAGGGCAATAGCACGATATCTGCCAGAGTGAAGTAAAGCCCTTCTGCAAACACATGCTCCAGAGGTGGAAGGTCGGAGGCTTTTGCTTTTCTAATGTGAGACGGCTCTCTGTTGGTAGTAGCCGGTTCTTCCTGTACCGTGAGCTTTGAGAATGCCACTTTCAATTCCAGACTCTTGGATGCAGAGTCCAGCTCTTCAGATGTTTCCTGTGTGTGGACCTTGCTCTTTGCCTTTCCCTTAGTAAGATGAGGCTCAGCTTCATCAGCCTTCTGTTGCTTGAGCTTCTGCCTGCGGAGTTTATCATCATTATGCACTCTAACAGGCTCACTAAGCTTTTTCTCTAGCTGTAGTATTTCTACAGGTATATTTAGGGGCTGGTCAGAAGACTCTCTGAGAAAATTCTCAATAGCCAAAGGGATGGTGAGTTCACACAGCCTGGTCCACTGACTAACCTACAAAACAAAAACAAAACAAGAAATGAAAGTTTGTTTTTTTTTTAATTTCAACGTAACTTGAGAAAAATAACTGTCTTATTGGAAAATAAGCTTTGAGCTAAATCATCCCTAGGTTAGCCTTTTATGCTATATCAAGAGATACATCACAGTGCTTTGGAATTAAAAACATTAAGCAAAGGAGGTTTAGCATTCCTGTATTCCCCTTGTGAAATAAATCATTACTTCCCAAAGCCTTTAAAATACACCTTCTCTGTCCTGCCCCCCTCCCAGCCCCACAAAGAGCAGGGCTTCCAAAGCATTGCTATTTGAGCTCCTATTTATATGTAAACATTCCATTTAAAATTCCTCAACATAACTAAAATTAAAAAATCATTCTCTAAAAATGTCTCCAAATTTTATAAATTAAATCTTAAATTCTTATTTTTCAATACTGCACTGAAATATTGCAAACATAAAGGGTATATTAGCCTATTTTTTCATTGCTGTAAAGGAATAGGTGAGTCTGAGTAATTTATCAAGAAAAGAGGTTTATTTGGCTCATGGCTCTTCGGGCTACACAAGAAGCATCTGCTTCTGGTCAGGACCTCAGGAAGCTCTTAGTCATGTTGGAAGGCGAAGGGAGAGCAGGTGTGTCACATGGGGAGAGAGGGTGTAAGAGGGAGCAAGGAGGAGGTACCAAGCTCTTTTCAACAGCTAGATCTCTCCTGAACTAATGGAACAAGAACTTACTCATCCCAGTGAGAGCACCAAGCCATTTGAGGCATCTGCCCCCAGGACCCAAACACCTCCTACCAGGCCCCACCTTTAACAACAGTGGGGATCACATTTCAACAGGAGACTTAGAGGAGATAAATATTCAAACTATATCAAAGGGTTAATTTAGTTCATTGGTTACCGTGGGGTTTTTTTTTTTTAATAAATGAACTTTTATTCCTAATAGGAAGTTAAAATATTAAATGGTCAAGTATCACTGTGTAGCTTCAAATAACAGAAAAGAGACGTTACACTTACTTCAGCACAGGCTTTCAAGCAAGTCTTTTTAAAGCCAAGAAGTTCCAAAAGTTCCTTCTTTAAGGGGTCTGCTTCATATGATTTCTGGATTATGTGTCTTAATACAACAGCAAGTCCTGCTCTACAAAAATTGTCTGATCGTTCTACTACTGCAGGTAAACAGCAATTCTGGACTATCGGTGGGAGCTGTTGCCTTGAAATAATCTGTATTTCAACATCTTGGATCAGATCATCTCTTAGTAGTAAACTATCTGCACTCACTTCTTTGGTGACAACTAAGCAAATTTTAAAGATTTTGCAGTCACAGTAAGATAACAGAAATAAAGTTACAGATGTATGAAGAGGAAAGATGCATCCTTTTGTTTGGTGAGAAAAGTCCAGATACAGGTATTCTTCTTCTGTAAGACTTTTCTTGATGGCTTTCATTTTCTTCTTTCATTGGATCACCTAAAATATAAATTGAAGTGATTATGGTCTTAGAATATAATCATTTATAAGCTAAAATAAAGATAAATGTTTTAAAAGCCTGTTCTAGAAATCAGTAAAGGTTTGCAGTAAAAAATGATGCTACGAGATTTGTTTCTGAAGACCAAATAGCTTCCAAAAAAAAATTTTCACCCTGTGTAATAACTAGCCTTAGAGGAAATTTCACACCCAGCTCCTTTAAAATGAGCATACCTCAGCACTTTGCAATAAAGCTTTCCCAATCAAGTAGTATCTCACTATAGGTGAGAAAAGGAGATCAATAGAAGGGGAAATAAATCAACCAAGTATACTGAGAGCTGCCTAGGGATACCATCCTTGAGAAGTTTTGACAGTGTTCATCTTTCCATACTGCTTCTTTTTTATGACCCTACGAAATAATAGGGAGGGAATATTCATTCTTTCAGGAGAAGTGGATTCTTCTCAAGTAAGTGATAGCTGTTGAGTGCTGAATTATAATATAAAAATATTAAAATTTCTCCATAAAAGATACTAATAACTGAGATATCTACAATTAACAAGTCCAAAATCTAGTTCCTTATTTACTTCCACCCCTCAAAGCTGCTCCTGATGTATCTTCCCCATCTCAGTTTACATCATTCTTTTCCTTCACACCCCCATAACCAAACCTTCCAATGTCTTCCCATTCTCCTAGAGAAACGCCAAAGTTTCTACATCAGCCTACAAAGATCTCCTTGATCTAATCCTCCTTTGTCTCTGAGTTTGTCTCATTTACTCTCTTCATTGCTCACTGCTCCAGCCAAAGTAGATTGTTATTCCTTTAAAACAGCCATGGCCAACATTTTTGGGACCAGGGACCAGTTTCATAAAACACAATTTTTCTATGGGGGTTGGTGGGGAGATGGGGATGGTTTACAGATGAAACTGTTCTGCCTCAGATCATCAGGCATTAGATTCTCATAAGGAGCACGCAACCCATCCCTGTGTGTGCACGCCTGTGCAGTTAATACGGTTGGAACTCCTATGAGAGTCTAATGCCGCTGATCCGACAGCAGACGGCATTCAGGTGGTATTGCTGGCTTGCCTGCCACTCACCTCCCGCTTTGAGGTGGGATTCCTAACAGGCCACAGACGGGTACTGGTCCTGGGCCCAGGGGTTGGGGACCCCTGCTAAAACACTAGGTATATTCCCACATGAGGGGCTTTGAACTTGGTGTTTCCAGTACCTAGAACACTTCTTCACTTCCTTCAGGTATTTATTTATTCAATGGCAACTTCTTACTGAGATCCTCCCTGACTGCTCGATTTAAATTGCAAACCCCAATCCCTGCTCCTGAAAAAAAAAAAAAAAAAAACCTTTCTATTTCCATGTTTTTTCTCCATAGTGCTTATTGCTATGGTGATATACTATACTTTTTTATTTGATTTGTCTTCCCCAACTAGAATGTTTCATGAGAAAAAAATTTTTTTCACTGCTTTATATACTTATTATATACATAAGCAAGCAGTATTTAACAAATGAATGCATAGATAAATATACACAATGGTTAAAGGTGCAAACACACACAATCTTGAGGTCAGATTCTTCATGGCTATTTTCAATTCATATTCCTTAAGGCTTTTATCAATTGTCCTGACTTTTTATGTTTAATGTATACATTTCTTGGGTCCAAAATTCCCAGTGTTCTAATCCATAAATTACAATTCCAAAACTGACACTAGATGGCACTCTTTAAAAGCATTCACCATGGAAATACATACCAGGAAGATGACATATTAGAAGGAAAATTACTTTAAAAGCTTTTAAAAAGTATATATGCAACTCTGTCTTTTAATTGGATTCAAAATGTTAGTGTACACTTAATTTTAGAAAACCTTCACCATACTAAATTTTCTTTTTTAAAATTCATTTAAAAAAAAATCCAAAGAGCTAAACACTTTAAGCTTCTTACACTTTTATGCTGTAAGTCCTTAAAAAGAGTCAAACAAAGTGAGGTCTGAAACAACAGTAGGGCAAAAAGAACCTACCACACTTTTCAGGAATTAACAGCCTTTTTGAGGAGTTTGCTATGGACTCACTCTCCTGACAGTAAGATAGTAAAAACAGGACCCCTAAGTGTTTCAGGACAGCAGATTTGAAAAACATATGACTGATTTCATCATTTGCCCAGCAGTATAAAAAAAAGTAATTATGAGACTCATCCTAATAGTTTTTAAAAACTGGAAACAAAGCTATGCTATTAAATAGCTTTTAAGATACACAGAAATATTTAAAATAAAAATAAAAATACATATGTATTTGCCACTTTGCAAAGCACATAAGAATATGAAAATAGGAGAGAGATCCAAGATGGCTGATCACTAGCAGCTCGGGATTGTAGCTCCCAGTGAAAGCACTAAGAACGAGAGGACGCCACACCTTCACATGAATTCTTGTTGCTCACACACCAGGAGATTCCCAGCGGAGGAGCCCCACGGGCCGCCAGCACGACTCTTGTGACCGGTGAGGCGGTTTTGCCGGCACCTCGGAGCATCGGTTCTTGGTGCAGAGTCAGAAAAGCACCATCAATCGTAACGCCGCTGATTTAGTCGGCGCAGTGGGTTGCTCAGATTTTCGGCGCTGAGAATCAATAAGTTGGATGTCCACTCAGAAACCCAATTACAAAGACGGTAAATACAAAGACCACAGATGAATAAATCTACAACAAAGGGAAGAAAACAGCCAAAAAAGGCTGAGAATACCCAAGATCAGAACGCCTCTCCCTCAGCAGGGGACCACAGTTCCTCATCAGCAACAGAACAAGGCTTGATGGAGAACGAGTGTGTTCCAATTACAGAAGCAGGCTTCAACATGTGGATAATGAGAAACTTCTGTGAATTAAAAGAACTTGTTTTAACCCAATCCAAAGAAACTGAGAACTTTGAAAAAAGATTTGACGAAATGTTAACAAGAATACACAATTTAGAGAGGAATATAAATGAATTGATGGAGCTGAAAAACACAATACGAGAATTTTGTGAAGTATGCACAAGTTTTAACAACCGAATTGATCAAGCAGAAGAAAGGGTATCAGAGGTCGAAGACCAACTCAATGAAATAAAACAAGAAGACAAGATTAGAGAAAAAAGGATAAAAAGGAACGAGCAAAGTCTCCAAGAAATATGGGACTATGTGAAAAGACCTAATCTACGCTTGATAGGTGTACCTGAATGTGACGAAGAGAATGAATCCAAGCTGGAAAATACACTTCAGGACATTATTCAGGAAAATTTTCCCAACCTAGTAAGGCAGGATAATATTCAACTCCAGGTAATACAGAGAACACCACAGAGATATTCCTCAAGAAGAGCAACTCCAAGGCACATAATCGTCAGATTCACCAGAGTTGAAATGAAGGAGAAAATACTAAGGGCAGCCAGAGAGAAAGGTCAGGTTACCCACAAAGGGAAGCCTATCAGACTTACAGCAGATCTCTCAACAGAAACCCTACAAGCCAGAAGAGAGTGGGGACCAATATTCAACATCCTTAAAGAAAAGAACTTTCAACCCAGAATTTCACATCCAGCCAAACTAAGCTTTACAAGTGAAGGAAAAATAAAGTTTTTTGTGAATAAGCAAGCACTCAGAGATTTCATCACCACCAGGCCTGCTTTACAAGAGCTTCTGAAAGAACCACTACACATAGAAAGGAACAAACAGTATCAGCCTTTCTAAAAAAATACCAAAAAGAGCATCAATATAATGAAGAATTTACATCAACTAATGGGCAAAACAGCCAGCTAATATTAAATGGCAGTATTAAACTCACATATATTATTATTAATTCTAAATTTAAATTGACTAAATCCCCCAATCCAAAGACAGACAGGCAATTTGAATAAAAAACTAAAACCCATCAGTATGCTGCATCCAGACCCATCTCACATTCAAGGATACACAAAGACTCAAAACAAGGGATGGAGAAGGATTTACCAACCAAACAGAGAGCTAAAATAAATAAATAAAAAGCAGAAGTTACAATTAAGCAACAAAGATCAAAAGAAGCAAAGAAGGACATTATATAATGATAAAAGGATCAATGCAACAACAAGAAGAGCTAAAGATCCTAAATATATACGCACGCAATACAGGAATACGCAGACATACAAGACTTATAAAGAGACTTAGACTACCACATAATAATAGTGGGAGACTTCAATATTAATATTAGACAGATCAATGAGACAGAAAATTAACAACGATATCCAGGACTTTAACTCAGATCTGGAACAAGTAAATGTAATTAACATTTATAGAACTCTCCACTTTAAATATGCAAAATATACACTCTTATCAGTACCACATCATATCAACTTAGAAGTTTAAATGAAATGTTGGTTGGCTCCTTGTTTGTTATTCTCTTCCCTCATTTTCTTTTATATCTCCATTATTAAGGACAATTATAGGCATACCCATATTTAGATTGCATTCTAGCCCAGGCAATAAAGCAATACTCCCATCCTTTCTCCCTCTTCCTCTTTCTCATTCTTCCTCTTCTTGTTTTTCTTATTAAAAAAAAAAAAAAACAAAACTATACTCAACATCATTTTGAGGTTTCTTCAGTGGATCTGATTCATTCATTTGAATTGCTTTATAGAGTGTACTCTTTATAAATAAGCTACATTTATTTATCTGACTTTCTTATGAGGGATAATGAAGTTGTTTCCACTTGCTCACCTTTGCAATCTGGGTTGTAGTGAATATGGGCGTTTATATTAATATATTGTCTCCTCGTATAGCTGTATGCAGAATTCCTCTAGTCTAGAATCTGATTGGGCATGAGGTATGTACCTCTTCAAATGTATGAGATATGGTGAAATTGCTATCTGAAAGAGGGTATAAAAAAAAAAAGAAGACAAGCAGAACAATCATGTTCATGTTCATATTCATGTAAGAATGTATTTCGTTGAATGACTCCCTGAATTCAAAATACAGTGAATCCATGGCAAAAAAAAAAAAAAAT